GAAAATTTTTTCTTCATTAGGCAAGTTTCTACCCTTATGCCAAGATAAATAAGAGCTCTGATATATATGTTTCAAAATGAGAGCCTCATTTGTTACTTATCCAAACAGCAGAGTATAACAGAATAGCAGAGTATAAAAGTTTTAGGATAGACTCCCTGACCCAGTAAAAGAAACAACTGAAATGTATTTAAGACTCTAAACCACAGCAGAGGAACAATGAGGAGACCTGTATAACAGCACAATTACCAATCAGCAGAGAAAGCAGGTGGTGTGTTCTCTGACCAGAAAACAGAAAACTTACATTTAAACCCATAAAAGAATAATCTTTGCTTTAGTAAGCTGAAGGGATCCAGTGAAGCCTTTCCAGATGGAATTAAACAAAAACTTGGATGTAAGACTCAAACAGAGATATCACAATGCAAATAGCAGGCTTTGTCCTTATAAAGAACATCTGTTGTGAAGTTGTTTACATTCCTACCAAAGTGGAAAAGGGTATCACTAATTCTCCATTGCAGCCAGGCATGTAATGGGGGAGTACAAAGTTACTGCTTAATATTTTTTACTAAATACATAGAGCTTTTCAGTAACTCACAGTTTTTTTATCTGAAAAAACAGATAAGGATTTGAGGCAAAGAGAAATATTCTCCTTTCTCATGATACTAATTTCCATATAACTTTCCAGGGATTTATTTATTAATTTCCCTTTATTTTATATATTTTATTCCATTAATTTTGTAGTCCATTTCCCTCCTGTTACAAGGAGGAAAGAGCATGAGTGCCTTGCTGAGCACTCTACTAGAAATGGAGAACTTCCAGCCTGTGGGTCAGCAGTTTGCTCTCACTCTTCCAGAGAGAAAAACTAGACTGTTCTTAGCCTGTGCTCCTCAGGAAATTTGAGATAGGCCATAAATTATAGGTTATTACTGCTTTTTAATGTTCCCTTTTCTGTTGTCCTGCTGTAGGTTTTCAGAAGTAGTTGAGGCAGTTAAGTGGTCAGCAAGACCAGGAGAACCAGAACAAAAAAAGCTCTTGATTTACATTAAAAACACTTTATTTGATGTCACCAAGTTACACTGCTTGCTGTATTTTAACAATTTCAACCAAGTTTTATATAATAGAGTTAAAGCCTTGCAGTTTAGAAGTGGCATTATAAAATTAATTTTTAATAAGTCTGTGATTTTTTAATGCTGGTTTATGATAATTACTAGGTTTCTCAGTGTTTGTAGTTTCTCTCCAATAGAATTGCTGCTCAGCATTACATTCCAAGTGATTAGAGCACTCTCATATACATTTTTGTTTTTAACATACACACACACACATATATAGGCTATTTCCTGTAAAGGAAATAGCACTCCAGTACTGCATGCAAAATGACAGCTGTGAATTTGTGCCACAGAACAATTTGACTTTATTCCTTCATGTGAGGTAGACAAAAGTAGTTGTCAAATACAAAGACCACCAAGAGTAAAGGAAGACCAGAGAGATGTAGGTTGGCAAGAAGGTTTGCTATAAATAAAACCATTCAAAAGTAAGCAGTGTAGTTTGTATATGGAAAAAATAATACTAGCAGTGCTTAAGACCAAAAGACAAAGTTTATTTGTAACTCAAGTCCTACAATTTCTAGTTCTTATCATGCATTTCTTATGATAAAGACCATATTGCATCATCTAATTTACCCTGCCACTTCTTTACTTTTTGCCTCTTTATTTTTTGGCTTTTAGAAAAACAATTTATTAGGCAATCTGAGTGTATATGATTTAGAAATAAGTCACAGTAACATTTTTTATAGTGTCTTGCAATTATGAGCAAAATCTTTCTTTTCTTCTTCCTACACAAACTAGAGAAAAACTCGTAGGAGAAACTTTACTATTAGGACAGCAGCCTGATTACAAAGGGCAATTAGGAATTTTGAAGAACACTAAAAAGACATGACCTGATTACAGCACAGTGATTAAGATACAGATATAGATTAAGATTAGGATGTACTGATATGACCGACAGAATGAAATTAAAGTCACCTTTCTAGCAGCTAGTGATCTACCAAAGATCTTATGCTTTGCAGAAGTTGGGAGTTGAGTGAAGGTAATGCACATTTTACTTTTATCCTGAAACATTCAGGTCCGTGCCTTTTCCATGGGGGCCAGCAACTACACGCCTTTGGTCCTCAACTTGATTCTGATACTACTGGTATATGTTTCACATGTGTGGTTAAATGTACATAATCCTGAGTGATTTATCATACAAAAGTCAAGCACATGGCAAATAGCTGCAGGAGTCAAAGCTTAATGTCAAATACTTGTCCCACTGAATTTTTTTTCTGAAGGAAACTCTTAGAGAACTGTTAAAATCGTGCTGAATGGTCATTCTCAGACAGTGAGAAGTGCAGTTGGAGTCAGACTCCTCTTTCTGAGGAGAACAGCTCCTCTGCCATAATTAGAGGCGCTGAAGCACCCTCCACAAAACACAGTAGTTCCTTTAATAAGTGACACTGAACTCTATCCCAGCCTACAGCAGCCTTCTCAGCTTCAAACACAAAAGCAGTCAAGTCTCAAAAACTTCAAAGAAAGCTTTTCATTTTATTTTCTCCTTGATCCACTCATAGAGCAGTTCATTTTCTTGAATTTTGTAAAATGACTTTTCACTCATCAGACCTGTGTAACAAATCACTGTCTCGATGACCAAATGTTCCCGTTTGACTCATCTGCTTTTCCTTTGGCCTTTGGGTAGGAAGCTTCACTTCTGAAACATTTTCTAAATTCACTTTGGTGAACTCTTCCCCCTCAGCTGCACTTTGTGCCATTTAAAAAAAAATAATTGCATTTCCTGCAACATAATGTGCTAGTTTCAGGGTTTTAAATTTCATCAGAACCCACGTTTTCTTTCTTAGAGTGATGTCTTCCCTTTAAAAAACATAATTTTCTAACACATTACGAGCTGTAACATGGTGCCTTTTAAGCAGTAAATCCTATAAGATTTTTCCAGGATTCTGTTGCATTCTGCTAACTTAGAACAGGTTTTTTACTAATGAGACATTTGTACTCTCATGTATATTGTTTTGGTTTTTGATGGTCAAAGATTTTCTAATTTTTGAACTTTGCTGCTGGAGTCTATGCTAAGACAATATCTCCTCTGAGGAAAACTATAACACAAGACTGTCAATAATCCTAATATTTTTCAGTGTTAAAAAGGCTGGAAATCTATAAAGTTTCATTCCTCCAGGCTTTTTCTGCCTCACAGCAAATAGGCAAACTTCACATAGTTATTCTCCACAGGGAATGTAGTCAATCCTTTCCAAGACGTAAAAGTAAATTGTGTAATGTGAATTATATTTTCAACCAGGTACTTACATTTCCAGGTGTAATGTAAAATCCAGAACTTTGCAGGAACTCAGAGCATTGTAAATTTTTACACAATTATGCTCCAGAAGAGCATAAAACAGGCTGTGTTGTGATCTTTGCTTACTGGGACTAACTGGAACAGAAACACTGCCCATTTTACACTCACGGTGAGTCTAATCACTGTAAGTTCCATGGAGTTAACCTGACCATGTTCTCCTGTGTGACAGCAGCTTTTAGACTATTTCCTTAATTTCTCAGGTTAGACATCAGTCTTCAAAAGATAAGTAAATCTGAGCAGATGAAACATTTAGAAAAAACAGTGGTCACTCCATAGAGAAAGGAAGCGGTAGAGAAAAAACAGCTTCTGAATGACAGAAAAGCAGTATGGAGAACATGGTCCTAGAGAATTTAAAAAGCCAGAGTTGTTTGACCAAAACCCCTCAGATCCTGAGTCAGAACCAGCTTGACAGATGTGCCCATGTTTCACACGATTCAGTGCCAACTTTTTCCTTACCAAACACCTTCTGCTCGTACCGTGCTGCCTGTGTGTTCCCATTCCCAGTGGGCTCCCCCACATTTCCCTCTGCTTGAGGCTTGCTCTTTCCATCCTTTCTGCAAAAAGGGTGGCAAACCCTCACCTCCCTCTCTGTCCCCGTGTCCCCTCATCCGTGTCCCCTCATCCGTGTCCCCTCATCCATGTCCCCTCATCCGTGTCCCTCATCCGTGTCCCTCATCCGTGTCCCTCAGCCGTGTCCCTCATCCGTGTCCCTCAGCCGTGTCCCTCATCCGTGTCCCCTCATCCGTGTCCCTCATCCGTGTCCCTCA